ATTATTATTATTATTATTATTATTATTATTATTATTATTATTATTATTATTATTATTATTATTATTATTATTATTATTATTATTATTATTTTACTTTGAACCCAATAATAAATTATTATTATTATTATTATTATTATTATTATTATCAACAGATATGATCTAAACTGAAAATTATTTTTTTTACTTTAAACCAATAATAAGTTATCATCATCATCAACAACAACAACAACAACAAAATTGATCTAAGCTGAAAATTAACATTTTTACTTTGAACCAAATAATAAAAAGACATAATTCTATTATTATTATTATCAACAGAAATGATCTAAACTGAAAATTAACTTTTTTTACTTTAAACCAATAATAAGTTATCATCATCATCATCATCATCATCATCAACAACAACTACAACAACAACAAAATTTATCTAAGCTGAAAATGAACATTTTTACTTTGAACATAATCATCATCAGAAATAATCTCAACTGCAAATTAACATTTTGAAAAAACTAAAATATATTACTAATAATGATATACTTTTGCATTGTGGGATACAGTGTTCTGTTATATACTGCACTTCTTGGGAAATGCAGTCGATCATCTGGTTATTCCACACATGTAGTATGCATACTACAGACATTGTACAAGTAATATGGTAGTATGCTGCTCCAAGTATGCCTCACATTATCAAACTGTCAAATACATGACTCCTGCATGCGAAGCACTTAGTCGATCATAACAGAGGTCAGAATCAGCTGAGAGCGGCTGAAATAATGACGGACATCATAAGAAGGGTATATGATTGTGCTTTTATATTTGCTGTCGTTGAGCAGTGAAAGCAGCACGTCACAGTGAAGTAGTGTGGCTCTGTGCGAGCGGCTGCTGTCTTGATGTCTTGTCTTGTGTCTGGCGTGTTTGTCTGGTGAGGAGCTGCCAGTGGCTACTGACGATGTCTTATGGGAGACATTGGGACTAATGCTTTTTACCCATAATGCAGTCTCTCAGGACTGAAACCACGCTAGTGAGCTGCCTCTGTAGGCGGCATCTGAAAGCATTATAAGCACCATTCTAAGTTGATTAAAAATACACTTATTTATTTGGTTTAAAGAAAAGCATGCCATAGAATAGAGGTACTAAAAACACTCACATTAATTGTTAATCCTGATTAGAAATGCACACAGTGTTTGTGTATTTTCTGTCTGTTATCTGTGTTTTTGCTTGAGAGGACGTGTCAGTCTCTGGTCTTCATTAAGGTCGAGTGAAAGACAGCCTGTTCATATTAGCGCTCATTTCCTCTGACTGATCCCGTTCTCTCTCCTGATTGGCTGTTTGAGTGTGTTGGGGTCGTCTGATGGTCACTGATTGACTGAACTGATTTTGACATCGACTTCAGTCTGCTGCAGGATTTTCGCTGCCAGTTATGTTGACAGACTCGTAAGAAAAACCACATGAAACCATTTCTACCGTATGACGATAATCGAGGCCCATTGACGCCTAAAGAGTCACATTATAGTCAAGAAAGTGTCCTTTTAAGATTTTGATGCAACAGTATCGTGAATGTGGGAAAATGTGGTGTGGTGTTGATGTCTATTACATGCAGCCGTGCTGATATACAGCCATATTGCACTGCTACTCATGTGATATCGCTCATATAACACATTTTTTTACTTAGTATACTGAAAGTTGACTGAATTATTAGAAAACTGAAAATACCCCCAAAAATGTATTAACATTGCTCAGTGCAGACCTATGTTTTTTCTTACCATTATTATTAATAAAGGTATTTCTTTGTGCTGATATTTCTGTTTGACATGGTGAATAACTGAACTCATGCTATTGTAATATCGTTATACACTTTAACTCTGTGCTTCTGTTTCTGTAGGACAAGAAGCTGCGCCTCTTCGACCCGCGGGCCCAGCCGTCGGCGGTCCAGGTACTGTTCAGGCATCTTCTGCTCAATCTGTGCGTACTGAACCGTGAATGTCGTACCGAACGCTTTGATATTATATTGAGAATTGTGACATCTCTATTAAATGTCCTAATTGAACTATGGCCTAATCCGGGCTTAACCTAAGCCCAGTCTGTGAAACCAGGCCTTGATCTATTTAATGCATCCTTGCTGAATAAAAGTATTAATTTCTTTAAAAAAAATACACTTTTGAACAGTGCAAATCCATCTGTAACACTTTATTAGTTGCTCAATTTACTTTTTTTTTTTGTTGCTCCATTTGCCCCTCAGGTTTCATATTCTAATCTTTAGCCAATCAGAGCAGGCCATTACTTCAGGGACTCATTCTGATTGGTTTATTTGTTTTATTCATTCACTCTGCTGTTTCTCATGAGCTGGTGAAGCCATGGGAACCCACTGAACCCTGGGAAACACTACAGCCCGATGCCCGTATGAACGTGACTGTGTCTTTGACTGTCGAAACCCGCTGAGCGTCTGTTTGAGAGCCAATCAATCCCACCGGTTTCAGCAGGGACGAGGAAGTTTGGGTCAGATCAGACCAAACATTCCCACAGTCCTCGTCAGGGCAGAGCGGTGACCTCGGCGGAGGTTTCTCTGTGTGTTTGTGGTGTCTTCTGAAGGTAAATAAAGCTCTGATGAATCATTAGGATTAGATATTACCCACGCTGCTCTCTGAGCAAACAGCCGGTAGCTCTGACACTTTACTGAGGAGATTAGCGTCTATCAGACGTCTGAGGCCTGGCGTGTGATCTGGTCCTGGATTCGTTCCCAGTCGGGCTCTTCAGTTGTTAGGGTATGTGCCGGTGTGATGTCAGACTGGAGTTTCTGATGTGTGTCCTGTTCGGAGCGATTCCTCTACACCTGCTGTCTTCTCATGTGATCTGATCTCAAGTGTAGTGTGTGTGATTTGTGTTGAGGCGCGTTAATGTTAATGTCAAGCGGACTTTTTCAGAAGGTTGTTTCTTTGGAAGCTGTACATAGACTGTCAGACTTTCGCTTGGCGCAGCGATTACTTGTTAGGACACAAATACACTTGAATTTATGATGCATTAAAAAACAGTGCAGCTCTGTTGATTTCAAATGATTATTTGGGACCAGGAGTTGCACGAACTTGTACTTTTACATTCATGTTGGGATCTGTTGAGCAAAGATGATATTAGATGCACTGTTGGAAATCCAGTCCCCTGCATTTTTGAATAACTTTAACTGTGTGTTGATTGACCGTAATGCTAAATTCTATAAACCTCTTTTATATTTCAGAACTTTGTAAATAATTCAGAACTTTTTAAAACAATTTTGACTTTGTACTTTACCAGAAACTTCATTCATTCATTTTAAACAAGTAATCAAAAATCACATTCATTCATTCATTCATTCATTCACAATTATTTATTGTATTTTTTATGTAATTTTTTGTATTTTTCTTGAGGAAAATTGCTTTCTTTTCTTTTCTTTTTTTTTAAAGATACTGCACCCAATGATGGCCAAATTTAAATGTTCTCTTTAATTCCCTTACTTTTCATTCATTCATACATTCATTCATTTACTCACAATTATTTGTTGTATTTTTTTATTTATGTAATTTTTTGTATATTTTCTTGAGGAAAATTGTTTTTTTTTTTCTTTCTTTTTTTTTTTTAAAGATACTGCACCCAATGATGGCCAAATTGAAATTTTCTCTTTATTTCCCTTTTCATTCATTCATTCATTCATTCATTCATTCATACATTCATTGCTTTACAATTATTTATTGTATTTTTTTTTATTTATTTTTTTTTACATTTTCTTGAATTTTTTTTATAAAGATACTGATGGTGGAATTTTAATTTTCTCTTTAATTGACTTCTCAGTATTCATTCATTCATTCATTCTTTCATTTTTGTTTGTTTGTTCGTTCATCGTTCAATTTGTGTTAAGTTATTAATCAAGAAAAATAAATTTTATTTATTTATTTATTTAATTTTCTTGATGAAAATTGTTTTTTTTTTCACCAAACAATTTTAATTTTCCCTTTAATTCCCCTTTCAGTATTTCTTAATTTTTTGAAAAGCATTTTTCAAAAAACTTGTTCTTGTTCTAAGCACAAACCTCACAAAGTTTTGTTAGATTTATGATTCAAACAAGATAAAGATATTCTCTAAAGGCGTAAGCTAAAATAAATGATTTAAAAGGTGTAAAATAAAATTACTTCAGGACAGTTCTTTGAAAACAAATCCTAATGTACTGCACTGTAAAAAAAAAAATATATATTTTTGCTGCTTGTTCTTATTAAACACTTGCCTTAAAAATTCAGTATAAAATCAAAAATATGTACTTATTCACTTTGTTAATTTTACTTATTTAAGTGGATTTTACTTGAAAGTTGTGCAAAAACCTTTTTTTACTTTTGCTTTGCAAAATACTGGATATTTTTTAATTTTTTTGGAAGTATAACTAGTTTTACTCTGGTGGATTGTAAAAAAAAGTAAGGGATAATAATTCTGAAACTTGCAAATGCAAGAGATGAAAAGTCTGGTTTAGCATCTTTCTCTCTCTCTCTCAAGCCCTCTAATCTCTCACATTAAGTCTGATTCCTGACAGGCCAGCTTGTTTTGTGACCACATCCAGCTGGCACCGCAAGAGTGGTGTGTGTGCCCACCACATTCACTCCAGCACCTTTAACGAGCCGTCACGGGCCAGCCCTAACAAAACACAGACTGACAGGCCTTCCAGTCGCCCCACGCCGAAGCTCTGTTTACTCACAAAACTGTAAAAGGCCACAGCCACGCTCAACCCGTCCTCTCGACGGCTCTTCTGCAGCAATGATGCACAGGCCACAACGTAAACAGAGGCACTTGAGATGCGTCTGAAAGCTGCCGTGTTGTTTATAGACTCGAGCTCGAGCAGAAATCAGCCGTTTGTCATCGCAGAGCTCATAAAACAATGCTTTCATGCGCCAGGTGATGAAAACCGTCCGTTTATAGAGCGACCGAGTTTCTTCGACAGATCGTCTGATGTAGACAGGTGGGGTAAAAATAGAGGCTAATTGTACGTGGTATTTACGGGAAGAGGCGAAACTGTGTAATTTGCGCTTTTGGATGGCACGAGTGTGATCTGTAATCAGCACGCGGCTGTATTTCGGTAGCTGGCACGACTGTGTGTGTGTGTGTGTGTGTGTGTGCTCAAAACTGTGGTTTCAAGAGCCACTCGCTTTGAGATATCCTGCTGCGTCTTGATTTTTATATGATAAATGCATATTTAAGCGCCAAACTCGCACCAAACCGCTTGAAGCTCAGACTACACTGAAAAAAAGAAAGAAAGTGTTTTTAGACTCTGGCTTGTGGTTTGGTACGTCTTAGACCTCCTCATCACTATGAGGTGTAACGATCCATTTTTAGTTATGTTTATGTTTTCGATTTAATACAGAATATAATAAACAAGATACAAGCTATATAAACAGCATTTCTGACATGCCGATTTCCGGGGAAAATAATATTGACTTTAATTTATTATTTATAGTATTTTTACAAAATATTCGTTCATTCATTCATTCTTTCATTCATTTTTTTTTTATTTGTTTTTGTTAAAAGTGTTTAGTATTTTTATGTATAATATTTAATCCATTTTTATTTATTTATTTGAATACATTTGTCAAGTTAATATTACACTGTTTATTTTTATTTTCATTTATTTATATTTTAGATTTAAACCGTTAGTAAAGGGAAAATCATAAGTATTTGCATATTTATTTACTTATTTAATTGTATTTATTTATTTTATTTAAATGAAATCATAAGTAAACATTTTATTTATTTGTGTTTTATTTTATTCATTTTATTAATAGAGTATATTTGTTAAATATTGCAATACATCACAATATATCAAAATTACAATGTTTAATTGTATTAATTTCATATTATTATTTTATTTTAGATTTAATTTAAATAAATAATTCATAAGTAAACATTTATTTATTTATCTTTATTCATTTTATATATTCATTTATTAATGCATTTTTCAAATAAAAATCACAATATGTATTTACTCTGCAATTGATTTATTCTTTTGATTTTATTGTATTTTTTATTTGAACAATTATTCAAGTGAAAATCATATTTATTTACTTATTTACTTATGTTTTATTAGTTTTTTTAGATAATAAATAAGTAAACTTTTTTTGGGTTCATTTTATTTGTTAATTTGTCTAAAATCACAATTGCAGTACAGTGAAAATTCTTCAGGGAACAGATGTTAAAAATACGCTCTGTTTTGCACTTATAGCCATAACGGCAAAGTTATTTTGAATCTTTAGCGAGGGGAAACAGGAAAGGGAATATTTTCTGGACACGGGGGCCAGATTTCTCTCGATTTGGTCTTCGGCTTCTGCTGCTTTTTGTGAAATCCGAGAGGCTTTGGAACGGAGAGGGAAAAAACGGCCAGCGTTGAGAGCAGACTGAGCGACTGCAGGGGTTTGTGGGAGACGCACACGCTCACAGACGCTTCACTGAAGAAGGAACGAGTACGCTGGGTGTATATTAGTCCCGCGGGTTAAGCTTACACCAGAATATGCTGAAAACAAGCAGCGTATGCTTCAGTAGAAGTATAATGGAAACTCATAGAACATAATTCACAACAGATAATAGGAGAAGTGGCATTGAATCTAGATAAAGTATAACGGAAAGTACTTTTATCCTGTTTTTCATGCTGGTTCTTATAATTTAATACAACCTGGGTGTCCCGACGGGACCTTTAGATATGAGCCTCTCTAGAGAAGATGTTGGACGGCTGCAACTTCTGATTAAAGATGGCAAAGTAGGCGTGTGGTGTGCCATGAGAGCATTTGCTAGGGGTTTATTGCCATATGTCAAGCTAAACTTTATTATACAGCCTATAGTGATGAAAGATTTTTAATGTCTCTGAAAGAAGTTTCTTCTGCTTACCACGGTTGCATTTATTTGATCAAAAATTCAAAATATTATTACAAT